CCATCATAATCGTTCCAGCTACAGGTGTACAGAATCGTACAACCCAGCTACAGGTGCTGAAGAGTAGCAAATAGAAAGCTTTTATGCAAGTGTCCAGGAAGAAACTGATCACACACCTAAGCAATGTGTTGATAATCATAGGCGTCTGGAACACAAAAGTAGGAAACAAAGCAGAATCTAAAATTGTTGGAAAATTTGGGCTGGGAACATGAAATGAAGCAGGATACTGACTAACAGAATTCTGAGAAGCCAACCATTTGTTCATTGCAAACACATGCTTCAGGCAGCCAAACAGATGACTGTATATGTACATGACACCAGATGCCCAATACAGAAATCAAATAGATTACACAATCCACAGCAGAAGACGGAGAAGCTCTATTCTTTCTGCTAAACTTTCTGGGATATTATGGGATGAGTGCTGTGTGCAGTTCTGGAGGTCTCACTTCAAAAAGGATGTGGGCAAAATCGAGAGGGTGCAGAAGAGAGCGACCAGGATGATCAGGGGTCTGGAGACTGAGCCCTACAAGGAAAGGCTAAGGGCCTTGGGAATGTTTAGTTTAGAGAAGAGGAGATTGAGGAGGGACATGATTGCACTCTTTAAATATTTGAAAGGATGTCATTTGGAGGAGGGCAAGGAGCTGTTCCAGTTGGCAACAGAGGATAGGACCCGAAGCAACGGGCTTCAATTACATGCAGAAAGGTATCGGCTCGATATTAGGAAACACTTTTTCACGGTCAGAGTAGTTAAAAGGTGGAATCAGCTGCCTAGGGAGATGGTGAGCTCCCCTTCACTGGCAGCTTTCAAGAAGAGGCTGGATGAATATTTGTCAGAGATGCTTTAGGCTGGTCCTGCACTGGGCAGGGGGTTGGACTAGATCAGGGTGTCAAACTCATTTGTTATGAGGGCTGGATCGGGCATAAATGAGACCTTGTTGGGCCGGGCCATGCGTGTCATAAAATGTAATGCCAGGGAGCGGAGATATAAACTTTATAAAGGACACAAACACAAAGGTGATTTTTTTAACTTAAAATAAAAACATGCTTAAAACATTAGCATTCTTGCAATATTTTGTTTATTTAACAGTGTCTGCTCTGAATTATTCCATCAAAATGTCTGCGCTGTTGCAATCTTGAGTACGCTGTTCAGGTGTGTATCTGTAAGCGGCAAACCTACGATGATGCAGCAGCAGCAGCAGAACTGGAAGAAACAGAAGGCAGCCAGTTCCACGGTGGGCCTGATAGAAGCCCTCCGGGGGCTGCATGTTTGACACCCCTGGACTAGATGGTCTGTATGGCCCCTTCCAACTCTATGATTCTGTGATTCTATGGTTACTCGTCTACCAAATGTCAGGTTTCTACCTAGTGTGGAAGTAACATAAACCTAGAGACACAAGGAGGCATCTCTCCCTCCCACTTCCCCTCCCACCCACTGACCCACCTGCAATGGCCTTGACTCGGCTTCAGGTTTGGTGGCCCCTCCAGCAATGTAGGTGCCATTTTAGGCTTCTGTCTACAATCGTCCAATGTGCCACTTAGACTCCGGCGTAGGGATGTCAGCCTCCGGGTCGTACCTGGCGATGCCCTGGAATCACAGCTCACCTCCAGACAACAGAGACCAGTTCCCCTGGATGAAATGGCTGCTTTGGAGGGGGACTCCGTGGCACTGTACCCCACTGAGGTCCCGCCCCTTCCCAGGCTCCACCCCCAAATCTCCAAGAGCTTCCTAATTTGGATTTGGCAACCATATCCCACCCCCATCACCCACTGGCGTCCAGGGGAGACTTGAGAGCCCTATTCTGGAGTTTTGGGGGGAGGGTGTGAACTTACAGACACTGGTCTTTTTAATGGGGGGGGGATTGCTCCCTTTTGTATGATTCAGATTCTTCTGCAAAGCTGGACATTCCCCTGGATTTACAGAATCCTACATTGTAGCCAGGCTGACCCCGTATTGTAGATTAAAAAAAAAAATCCCCATGTCAGTCTGGTCTCAAAGGATAAGCAGAACCCTGCTGGATCAGACCACTGGCCCACCCAGTTCAGCTTCCTCATTCCTATGACGCCCATCTAGATGTCCTGGAGGGGTGAGGTGGGGTGGAAAGATGCTTCATCCCTCTTGGTTTGGGTGGAAAATGTACAAATGTCTTCTTGTGCAGCAGGTGAATTAACATTCTGGGGACTACCGACACACCAGACTGCAGCTTTCTACCACACGCAGAAGAAGAGAGAGAAGAGATTGGATTTATACCCCGCCCTTCACTACCCAAAGGAGTCTCAGAGCGGCTTACAAACTCCTTTCCCTTCCCCTCCCCACAACAGACACCCTGTGAGGTAGGAGGGCTGAGAGAGCTCTGACAGAAACTGCTCTTTTTCAAGAACAGCTGTGCCAGAACTATGGCTTGCCCAAGGTCATCCAGCAGCTGCAAGTGGAGGAGTGGGGAATCAAACCCGGTTCTCCCAGATTAGAGTCCATGCACTTAACCACTACGCCAAACTGGCTCTCCAGAACTCCAGGCCTTTTGCCATTCCAGCATACGATTTAGTGAGCCACGGCACAGTTCCTCAGATGCATGGGCCGTACATCCCCAACCATTATTTATACATAGCGTTAGAAGCAAGAGGCGGGTAGCGTGAGGGGCCGAGAGTCCTTACAAAACCAGAGTGCAAATGTTTGACCATTTACAGTTGTTACTTCTGCTTTCTATCACATTTCAAGCAGCACCTTTTCTTAAACTGGATATTTATCTTTCTCTGCCCATCTTTGAGACTCAGGAGCGGTCCTTATCCATTCTTTATGGATTGACTTCTCTTTTGCTTTTTGTTTCTGAGCCTAACTAGACTTTACAGCGTACAGGGGCTCACCACAGGGGCTCGCGCCTCTACTATAGCTGTCAGTTACAGTGGGCGACTTGTGAGCAAGCATGCAGAAGGGCCTTACTCGGATCAGGACCACTGCTAGGGTTATCAGCATCTAGGGGGCTCCTGCTGA